GATACTTTCCCCCTTCATTTCATTCAGGACTTGCTATTCCTGAGTGGCTTAGGATCAGGGTAATAAGATGGGCAAACGTAATGGGAACACGATGATTTTGAGCAGAGCGGGCTTGCTGTTTGCTAACTGCGTGATCGTGAGAAATGAGTCGCTGCTTCTTGGGAACATGGTTAGGATTAAATGACGTGGCAGACACGAAGGTCTGGATTAAATGATATGCCACACACCTGTGCTTCCCCCCCAAAAAAAAAAACTGCCCCCCGGCCTCCCTCCCCCCCCCCCTCTGCTGCTGCCTGGGCACACATCACCCCAGGAGGTGAGCCCAGCTGCCCGCTCACAAAGCCCAGTACTAGAGAAACACTCACTCAGGCCCTTGCTGAAGCAGGATTATCCTGTGTCGTTTCAGAATTCTCCTGGAGGAAGGGAAGGCCACGGTGCCCTGTCTGGCAGAAAGACTCACTACAGAGCTGGTCGTGCACATCAGAGTGAGCAGTGGGTTGGGTTACAAGGCACAGAAGCGGCAGCCTGCCCAAGTCAGTTTCTTGGCCCTGAGTTGGCCAAGATGCCCCAGTTGACCGTCCATACAAGCACATTCTGGAAACTATCTCACCCCCAGTCACAGGCTCACAGGAGCGCTTCTGAGACAAGGAAGCAACAACTGCATAACAGTGAAACTCAGAGCTGCATCAGAAGGAGAAAGGGAAAGAAGAAAACCGTACACTAGTTCAGCAATGTAAAAAGGAGCGACCACTGAGTTAGCAGTTTTCTTTCTTCAATAGGTTGTTAATCCTTCCCAGTATAAAAGAACTTTCCCAGCCTCAGACTTGTAAGATATAATCAGCTTATAAGAAATCAATCAGTTTTTATTGATACTCAAAAATAGACAAATGTAGACAAAGTTCTCATGACCTCAGCAATTTATGAAAACTGTGGCTTAGCACCTATGGAGAAGGGAATATTTTTAGTGCTTGCCTGAAGCTTCATGAATGAGTTTAAGTGACCTGGGAAGATTTAAGTTTTCCCTAGAGCAGAGATAATT